GAAATACGAAATGTCACAGTTATGATTATCAGACATTTCAGGCTGATGTAGATGCTATTTTTTCTCCTGGGGTACAGAGTCAATATCAAGTCCGGGACAGTTAATCCAAGGGAGACTGATCATGTCCCAGGAGAGGGATGGGGCACTCAGGCATGTATAGGAATTGATGTTTAATGTAGTATCCATTATTCTCACAGGATCTGCTTTGGCAGAATTTCTTTTCAATGGGAGCTCCGGTGGATAATTTCAGTAACTTCAGACATGTTTATTGGCTTTTGTCTCCCTCTTTGAGGGCCAGGAGAGCAGTGTGGTACTGATCTAAGGCTTCAAGGCCCTCTGCCACATTACAGTCCCAATTTGTATTCACTTGGGGGAGGACTGTGTTCACCTAAACATCAGGATCAGGCACAGTGGTGGGGATTTTTCACTTTAACCAGACTTGGGCTCCATCTAAATTATGGTCATGTTATTCATTATTAAACAGAGTCAGAAGGAGTTGATGACAGTAGAGGAGGAGGCTGTGATGCAGGAGACAGAACTGGTGATGGTGGCATCGTGGCTGTATGAGCAGCTTGAGGTTGATGAATGTAAGGAGGAGGCAGGTTGGACTCAGGGCCCTTGGGCAGAACAGGATAAAAACTTTTCTGGCTTAGGCTGAATCTGAGAGCCTCTCAGCTGGCCTCGTGGGTTTGTTTTGATAACTAAGATGGCTTCTTGTTGTGCAGGACATAGGTGCAGAGCTAAGGTGGGAGAGTTTTTAACCTCTTATGGCAATTGAGTCCAATTGAGCTGACCTCTTATCTCAGGATTTTTCCCAGTTGAAGGCATTTATGGGAGCAGCTCTCAAGCATAAAAAGTCATCTTTTAAATCTAGAACAGTCTAAAAGGGTGTGTGGGTTGGGAACCACAGAGTGCAATGTTATGGCTATGTTGTTTGATGGCACAGAGATCTTGCCCAAGGTGATTAACAGTCTATCAGACTGATGTGTAGGTGGATGTTTGTTTATGCTTCCCATGACATCTGGTAGCAATAGGGGTCACAGCTGATGGCACCAGGCCCAAAAGTGAGTCTTTGTTCACACCTCTAGGAGGAGAGTTTTTAGAACTTCAGGATTGCAGTTATCTGTCTCAGGGTAACTAACATAGGCATCATATTTTTCTCAGGGAACAGTAAAAGTTGCAGGTTTAATGAGAGGGAGGGTTAGAGGGAGATGTCCTCCCATGGTGCAAGTTTGTGCCTGGCAGAAGGGGTGAGACACAGAGCCTTAGTTGCCCTGGTAATGGTAACTTTTTGACAGAGGGAACTTTTGAAGGCAGAGAGTTCTGTTCCATTGTCAAGATTGGCTCCCCAACTTTTGCAATGACCACAGTCTCTTAGGATGCATTTTGTTTTTGTTTTTGGTACTGGGAATCAAACTCAGGACCTCACACTTGCTAGGCAGGTACTGCACCACTGAGCTAAATCCCCAGCCCAGGGGCCTGATTTTTTTTTTAATTTTTAAAAATTTTATTTTAAAGAGAGTAAAAACAAAACAGAATAGAACAGAACAAAGTAGAGCAGAGTAAAACAATGTAAATAACACAGGATTTCATAAAAAGACAGCAGGAAATCAACAGTGGCTACCATAATGTCTCTTGTTTTCTTCAAAATAGTTGTCCATACCTTCACACACAATAAGTTAATACACATCAAAATAGTATAAAACAGGGCTTGGGATTTAGCTCAGCAGATGCCTGGCATTCAAGAGGTCATGAATTCCATCCCCGATACCAAAAAAAAAAAAAAAAAAAAAAAAAAAAAATCAAAATAGTATAAAACAAAGCATAAGAATGAGAGCCTTAAGGGCTTTCAAGATCAGACACTAGGAAATTAATAATGGCTACCATAATGTTTCTTGTTTTCTTCAAAATAGCTTATGGGAATAACTCTCAAGCAGAAGTCATCTTTTAAATCTAGAACAGTCCAAAAGAGTGTATGGGTTGGGAACTACAGAGTGCAAGATTATGGTTATGTTGTTGATGGCACAGAGATCTTGCCCAAGGTGATTAACAGTCTATCAGGCTGATATGTAGCTGGATGTTTGTTTATGCTTCCCATGACATCTGGCAGCAACAGGAGTCATAGTTGATGGCGTGGTTGATAGCCATATCTTTTACATATTGGAATCAAATAACTGAAAACAGACTAAAACCAATAGACATTAAGAATAAAAGCCTTATTGGCTTTTGAATTAAACTGATAGGAAATCATCAGTGACTACAATGGTGTCTCATTTTCTTCAGTGTAGTTGTTCATAATATCACACATTTAAAATCAATGCTTGTAAACTCTTTAGGTGAAATTCTAGGCATATAGAAACATACATGTACATCTATCCTTTCTGTATTAGAGGAAAAACAAAACAACAAATAAAAAACTATATCTAAGAGCCTAAAACAATAATAATGTAGGCTTTCAAAACAAGGAGGTAGGAACCTAACACTTTTGGTTGTTTTGCATAGTTATCTTCATAAGCCTTATTTGAATTACCATGTATAGTCATGTAAAATTGATCTAGTCTTACAGATGTTCTGCATTATTCCAAGAACTAACAAAATTAGTAGTACAATCATCTTAGTAATCTTAAGTGTATATATATGAATTTATGTCTCGTTTCATTTCTCTTTTTCTGAGTTATTTTTTCCTCTTTCAATTACTTTACCCTTTCCAATATTTATTGATGACTTCATATTTTATTTACTCTTTCAGTTTCTTATACTCAGGAGACAATATGGTATTTACACATGTGAGTTTGATTTATTTCACTTATGAATATGGTCTCAAGTCACATCCATTTACTCACAAAAGCCTCAGTGTGGTCTTTCTTTATAGCTGAGTAGTATTCCATTGTATAAAAATATTACATCTTTTTTATCCATGCCTCAGTTGATGAGCTTTTGGGTTGTTTCCAAGATTTAGCTATTACAAATTGTGCTGCTAGGGCTTGGGATTTAGCTCAGTGGCACAAGTGCCTGCCTGGCAGCTATGAGGTCATGAGTTCAATCCCTGGTTTAAAAAAATAGAAAAACAAATTGTGCTGCTATAAACATGGGTGCACATATATCACTGTGATATAACTTTTCAATTCTTCTGGGAATATGCAACCTCCAATCCCAGCTTTTTGAGGAACCTCCACAGTGATTTCCACAGTGGTTTCACCAGTCTACACTTCCACCAACAGTGCAGAAGTATTCCTTTTCCCCACAGCCTCTCCAGTATTTGTTATTGGTGATTTTCTTGATCCTGGCTATTCTTTCTGCAGTGTGATGGAATCTCAGTATGGTTTTAATTTGCATTTCTCTAGTGACCAATGATGTTGAATATTTTTTCATGTATTTATTTGTCATTTGTATTTCATCTGAGAAGTATGTATTCATCTCAGATGCCCATTTTTGGATTGGATCTTTGAATTTTGGGGGCCTGGTTTTTAAAAAAACATCTTTATATATTCTAGATAGAAGGCTTTTGCCTGAGGGAAAGTTGACTAAGAAGGCAGGCCCTTGAGATTTCTTGAGTCCCTTTAGAGGTCTGGAAGAGGATTCCTGGCTTCCCGTTCAGGTGGCTCACATTGGACCCCAAGGGGAAGAGAACACAATCTCTCTGTCTGTCTGTCTGTCTGCCTGCCTAACTGCCTGATATTGGTAAAAACAAAGCCAAGCCAAAAAAAAAAAAAAAAAAAAAAAAAAAAACAACCCAGGAGCATCCCAGTTAAGTCTGTCTGTCAGTCCTGCTTAGTTTGAGCAGAAGAAGAGTTTGATCAATTTTTGTTAGGAAAGGCCACCCTCAAGGAAGGGGCGTTGGAATGTTCAACTTCTGAGTACCTACTGAATAAATGTGTGAGTGGATGGACAGTGTAAGCAATAGGCTGCTCCATCTATGCACCAAGACTGGGAAGCACTGATCTCGGTGGCTTATTGGGCACTCACGGGTGGTTCTATGGCAGTCAACATACAGCATAACAGAGCCCTCACACCCTTCTTTTCTAAGTTGTGCTTAAGTCCGCTTAAGGGGCTCAGCCAGTCAGGCATCTGAATGATCTCTCTCTCTCTCTCTCTCTCTCTCTCTCTCTCTCTCTCTCTGAGGGACACTCATTCTTTGTCTGTTGCACCATCATTCAAGGGTATGTAACATACACCACAGGGAGATAAAATAGGACCCACAGTTCCTGACTGCAGGAAAGGGGCTCTTATGGTGTTAAAAATAAAACCATATGGCTCCCTGCTTCTCAGGGTTACAGCCTTTCAATACCTTATGCAGCCAGGCTGCCCACAAGGCTTTGAGGGTAGCTGCAGGATAAAATACCTTTTAGAGAGTGTCAGGCACTTCTCTCTCATTCCTCCCCCAGCCCACATGTACAAGAGATTTTATATCCTCTTGAATCTTATGGGGAGCTTAAGGGTTATGATCTGTCTTCCGGAGCTGTTGTAGAACTGATCTGAGGCATTGAACCCTACATAAAAATCTCTGTATGACTGTTCTAGTGATTTGTAAGGGCCTGAGTCTTCCCCTAAAGGCACTAGTCAGAAGCTTTGCATTGTTATCAGCTCAACATGAAACTGCTGTAATCTAGAAGAGAGAAACTTAACAAAGTAGACAAGTAAGGGGGAAAAACCAAAAGTAAAATTGCAACAATTGGGCCTAGGAGAGGTAGACACCAGGTGAAACTAGACAAGGCTATTTTTTCTGCTCTCCTTTATTTTACCCTGTCTAAAACGCCTGTCTCATTTTCTATCTTTTTTTTTTTTTTTTTTTTTTTTGGTACCAGGGATTGAATTCATGACCTCACGCTTGCCAGGCAGGCGCTTATGCCGCTGAGCTAAATCCCCAGCCCTCATTTTCTATCTTTTTACTGTATTGGTTTGTGAACTCAGACAGTGCCGTATTCCCGTGGACCAGCTCTTTTAAACAGGTTTTAAGATTTGCGAGAGTCGAGATCATTCTGGTCTTTTTCTCTTTTCAGTTCAACCAAAAACTCACACTTTAAAGGGAAATGTCAAGTCATCCCCCTCTCATGTGGGCCTCTAAGAAACAAGTTTGACTCTAGAGATGTGAACTGAAGTAATGACCTCCTGAAACTTGATCATGGTAAGAATGCATAATAAAACCTACTACCATTTAGGTTATATTGGTCTTCTAAAGATCCTTTTAATTTTTAGGCAAAACAAGGTTCCCAAGTTGAATTACGGAAGTAGCTTGGTTTGAATCTGGTTTTGGCTAAAACTTTGTTTGCATATGGTGTCAGAGCCTTATGTATTTGGTCTACGTTGATAATTTAATATACCTAAAAATTTGAAAGTTTCCTTTGTCAATCAAGACATCTGAAACTAAAAAGTCCTGACATATGTCATATCAAGAAAGCTAAGAATTTATTCCTAGGGGTTGTCCTAGCCACAACAAAATTTTTGGAAACAGTAGAGAAGGATTCTATCTTTTGATATAACTTAGAGTCTGTTTTAATGCCTGGTTCATTCAACTTTCTCAGATTATTGTGGTCCACATGCAGTGCAGAGACATTTTATTTTGAGTCTATGAGATAAATACCAAATGACCTTGACAATAAAAGAGGGCCCATTATCACTTTAGATACTCTTTTAGAATCCAAGGTAGAGATTTATTTCCTTTAGGTGGCTTCTGCAATCTTTTGGGCCTTTTCCATCTGAGTAAGGAAACCTTGCAAATGTGTCTATAAGGGTTAGCAAGTAGTTAAAACATCCATACCTGGGCATCTGAATGAAATAAAATTGCTGATTCTGCCCAGGGTACATTACCCTATGTTAGACAGATTTAATTAGGGGTGGACAGACAGGATGACAGCATGGTTTATTTTACGCACAAACTTTATAACTGTGTGACTTCTCTTATGGTTTGAGACAGTCCAATTCCTCCAAAATCACAGGACATCAAATCTATAACCTTCCATTGGTCCACCACAGGAATAAGCAGCCTGTTTTCTTTTTAAAATCCAAATGAAAGAGACCCATTCCCATCTTCTGGAGGCTATTCAGTCAATTTCCTCAGGGATGTATTGGGGGTTTTTCTGCATTAGGTAGATTTGGGACTACGGCTACTGCCTAAAGGAGGCTATCTTCTTGGGCAGTCATTTTGACTGTCTGATTGGCTGCTTTGTTTACTTGTCAACAAGGAAGCCATCACTTTGATTCTGCTTTCCTTCCAAATAGCTGCAGGAGCACAGGGAACTAAGAAATCATACATGGAGTTTGTGTATGTTGGCCTGTGTTTTGCTAATTGGAAGACTCTTCAATTGGAGACTATGAACTCAGCCTTTTGGGCAGAAGGATGTGGAGACAAAGCTTTATCCTTGATAGTTTCATAGACACTGACTACTGCATGTCTTGGTTGTCTTATGCAGTCCAGAACAAAATGCTCCCATCTGTTAACCATTCCACATTAGGATCGTCAAGGAGATTATCTTTAAGATCTACCTTACGTGAATAAATCTGTTCCATAACTCCCACAAAACCATGGAAAAGGATACTCTGCCTGAATATCCTTTGCTAGGTACAGAGACACTGGTTAGAGTGAAAAACCCTCTTGGTAACATCTGGAGAGGCCAAAATGAGAGCCTGACATTTGAACAATTGTTTCTCTGTTCATCCACTAATAATATCCTTTTGCGTCTAAGACAGCTTTAACCCAATGAGGACTCTATGCTTCCAAAGACTGGCCCAGGTATAACTTAGTAGCTTTTCTGACAAGGAAGGTGCTTTCAGCCAGTGCTTTTAGAGCATCAGGCCAACCACTGGGAGATACAGGTTACCACCAGTGGGACACATTTTAATCTCTGAGTACAAACTATACCCATCCCTTATCATTCTGAAACATATAGGGTAAACGTCTCCTTCATATTAAGCAAGCCCAGAGCAGGAACCTGGGTAAAACTGACTTTGTTATCCTCTTTTCTTTTCTCTTTTTATGCTACTGAAGATTGAATCCAGGGCCTCATATTGAGCTACATCCCTACTCCCTTTTTAATTTGTTTATTTTGAGACAAAGTCTCACTGAGTTACTCAGGCTGGGCTTGAATTTATAGTCATCTTAGCTCAGCCTCTCAGAGTCCTAGGATTACCGGCATATGCTACCATTCTAAGCCCAAGATTGGATTTTAAAACTGGAAAACTTGCTGTCACTTACCATCCCATTCAAATGATTCTCTTTTTTTCTCTCTTTTAAGCTTCATATAGACTTAGCTATCTTTTAAGCTTCATATAGACCAGGTATGCAGATGTGGTAAAGATAGTCACTCCAAGACAGACCCTGAATTGCATTTTAATTTGAGGCAATTATACCTTAAGAATTACTCCCTTTCTCTTGGGGTTCAGTGTTCTTAAACCTACACTATGGAATTAGCCCAAATACTTCACATCTTGGAAGGAAATTTGAGCCTTGCTGGGTAACAACATTCAGTACCCTTGCTGAGCCAGGAAATTTAGAACTTGTATGGTAATTTATCAGAAATTGTTTTAGAATGACTGGAAATGAAAAAGTCATCTATATATTTGAGCAAAGAATCTTGAGGTAAATGGAGCTTGAGCATTCTAAAAATAAGGGCTGTCTCTGAATCTCTGGGAAAGTGCAGTCCAATTCAGTTGATTGGTTTCTTTTTTTCTCTTTTCTTTCCTTTGTGTGTGTGTGTGTGTGTGTGTGTGTGTGTGTGTGTGTGTACCCAGGATGGAACTGAAGCCCTCTCACTTACCAGGCAGACACTGCACTGCTGAGCTATATATATCCCCAGCCCAATTGATTTCTTTAGTGGAAAGGTTAGTCCACTCAACAGCAAGCAAGTAGTGGGAGTTGGGATGCACCTTCTAAATCTAATACAGTGAACCAGCCAGCCTTTCCTTGAATTTGAGTCAGAAGGATGTATGGATTGAGGGTTATGAGAATAGGAATTCTCATCACATAGGAATTACACACTGATATAGATTGCTGCAAGTTCAAGGCCAGCCTAAACTACATATTACTGTCTCGAAGAGAGAGAGAGAGAGAGAGAGAGAGAGAGAGAGAGAGAGAGACAAAGGGAAAATACTATTTTCTATATTGAATTGTTTGGGTTGTATCACCAAAAGTCAGTTGACTATATTATTTTCCTACATTCCATGTTCTGCTTCACTGATCTACTTTATGCCAAGTCCACACTGTTGGACTGTAGCATGTCTTGAAGTAATGTAATATATACATGTAGTTCCTCCAGCTTTGTGATTTTTTTTTAATTTTTTTTTTTTTTTTGTCTTTTTCCTTTTTATCAGTACTGGGGATCGAACTCATGACTGCCTGCTTGCAAGGCAGGCGCTTATGCCGCTGAGCTAAATCCCCAGCCCCCAAGCTTTGTGCTTTTTTAAAAGATTGTTTTCACTGGGGATATAGCTCAGTAGCACAGCACCTGCCTGGCAAGCACAAAATCTTGAGGTTGATTCTCGGTACCAAAAAAACCCAACCCTATTAAAAAAAAGATTGTTTTGGTATGGTATGTTTCAGAAGTACAAACTTAAATGGCCTGTTTTCAGGCTAAAGCCTTTAACTCTGAGTGGAAAACTACTACTACTTACCCTTTGTGAGTAAGGTCAAGTTTCTTGAAAAGGTGTGTAAAGTGGGTATTTAATACTCGTATTTATTTTTAGGTGTATTTCTATTAATTTATTTTAATTTTATGAATTTTATTATGTTTAGTAAACTAGTATAGTCTGACAACATGTTGTTGGTCAGCATTGGTTTTCAAGGATATTACACATTTTCATCTCTAAATTGTAATGAGCTTTTAGAAGAAAGGTTAGGAAAGCCACAACAGAGATTGCCAATTGAAATCCAAATTTATTTATTTTTTATTCACTTTTTTTTTTGGTCTTTTTGAGACAGAGTTTCACTAAGCAATTTACACTGGCCTTGAACTTATTTTGTAGTCCTGGCTAGCCTTGAACTCCTAGCAATCCTCCTACCTCAGCCTCCCAAGTGCTGCGATTACAGGTGGGTGCCACCATTCCTAGCTTCAAACTTATTTATTTTAATATATTGTTCAATTGTAATTAAAGCTGAGAATATTAAAATCTTGTTAAAATCATTGAGACAAGAATGGGGCCAGGAATTTAGCTCAGTGCATAAGCACCAGACTAGCAAGAACACTAAATAAAGAACAGTTCTAGTGTATATATATATAAAACCAAGGAATTATGGATCATCACAGTGCCAAAGTTTATGCTTGAATTATATCAGGGTAGAGATTCTGAATGTTATAACTGGGATCTTAAGGTCACTATCAGTTGATAAATTTGGGCTAATAAATTTCTAAAGTACTTAGGTACAGAGGCTTCTAAATCTAAGTACAGAGAGAGTTTTAGTGGGTTAGGAGTGTGACTCAGTGGCAGAGCACTTGTCTAACATGTACAAGGCCCTGGGTTTTATCCCTAACATATAGAGATGGGGGAGAGAGAGACAGACAGACAGAGACAGAGACAGAGACAGAGACAGAGACAGAAAATTTTACTGCTGTTTTATTTATTGCTACATAACAGTCACCCCAAAATTTAATAGCTTAAGACAATGAGCAATTTATTGCTTACAATTCTGCACCCAGCTCAAAAATTCTTCCACACCATAGGATGTTGGCCAGGGGGTTACTGGGTTGGAATAGCCAAACCATAATGGCTCATGGTTCCCACTGGGAAGCTAGGCTCAGCTAGGGTGCTGCTGAAATGACTCAATCAGACTCTCTCTCTCTCTCTCTCTCTCTCTCTCTCTCTCTCTCTGCCACCTCCTCTATGATTCCTCTTGGCCTTCCTATGACTTCTCCACATTGCCTCCTTTATATTTCTTACACAGTATCTTAGGCTACCAAAAGTGAAAAAGAAGAGCATTTTTAACTCCAGGAAAATAAAATATTGTTAAAGTATTAAATTATGAATATTTTGTAGTATTTATAATAAACACCAACATTGGCTGCAGCCCCCGCAGGGGGAGAATCACCAGTGTCTCCTGAGATCCACACCATGTTGGAACATAGGATGCTAGGAAACCAAGCAATCAGCCTGCCTCCCTGTTAAGCCATAGTGAGCCTACCAGTGCACGGGCTT